CTGATGGCCGAGTGCTGTGATGTGCCCAGTGTGGGCATTCCGGGCACTCCAAGCCATGACTGGTTTTCAAGCGGGGCACCCCTGAGAACTGTCTGTCCGGGGTGGGGGTCGGGTCCCTTTAAGCGCAGCCCTCGGCTAGCCTGAGACAGCATCTCCAAGCTCTAAGTCCTCCTCTGATGCCCTGCCGGCACTGCTTCCGGCCATCCTTAAGCCCTGTTCAGGGTCCACTTAATGTGGACATGCTAGTTCGAATTAGCAAAACGCTAATTCGAACTAGTTTTTAGTTCTAGACGCGTTAGTTCGAATTAGCTTAGTTCGAATTAACTAATTCGAACTAAGTTAGTTCGAACTAACTCTGTAGTGTAGACGTACCCTTTCTGAATTGTGTAGTAGACTTTCACAGAGTATGTAGTACTGGTTCCAAAGTTGTACTGTGGTGTCAATAATGAGAATATAACTAAAAATACTCCTTATGAGATGTCAGTTGTCTTGAATCTTATCAATAGAACATTTTATTGATTTTAAATATTATTAGATCACATAATTCAACAAAAATATAAAATTCTGTATTTAGGTAAAATTGGACCAAATTCTCCACTGTGAAGGGGGAAACAGCTATTTAAGGGCATTAATTTATATTTTCTTTAAAGTCACTCTGTTGGGGCATAACATTTGCCACCCTGCATACTACACTAGAGGGTTGCATCCCTACTCTGCAAGTATCTATGATCTGTGCAAAACTCTAGTGTCTCCCACACTTCTTTCAATGCCCTTGGGACCAAAACTTTGAAGGAGATAGTACCCTGAAAAGTATGGAAGTCCACAAAATATGATTTAGCCACTGAGATATGTCTTGATACAAATTATGTGGTTGTGGTGACAGACATAAACTTTTAAGAATAATTGTATAGTATCCAGAAAACTGTTTAGATGCTTGTATTAGTTTAGCTATGAAGATCTTGTATTTAACACTATAAAATGTATGCTTGTTTTTAATTACACTTTACTGCAATGAAAAATTATGATGCTACCAGAAGAGAGCAGTAAACGATAGCAGTTTTTAAAAAGGCATATTCTACACAGATTGTGTTTAAGTGTTCAAATTACACCATAGAGTAGATGACATTTAGCTTCTTGGTACCACAGTTGGTATCATTTTTTTGGCCTAATTAAATCCTTACCTGTTATTTTATATTTCAGGGGTCCAGGAGGTGGTAGACCATGGCCAAACCCAACAAATGCCAATTCTGTAAGTAAATATTTAACTGTGTTGAACAGTAATGAATGATCTGAGGAGTTATTCCTTCTTAATATGCCCATTTATTGGGGGAAAAAACTTCCACACCCAAAATTAGTGTGTGCCATATTTTATTTCCCACTACTCTTTTTTTTTGTCAACACCGATGCATGGATTCTCCAACTTTTGTTTACAGCATGGATCACATCTCAATAGAGATATTCTATTAGACCACCTTTCTTCCAACTTATGATTGTACAAACTATCTGCTATCCTGTTCATAATCATGTGACAGTCCTGAGGCAACTGCAACAATTGTCCAAAGGAAAAATTAACACTAGCCTATCATTTAATATATTTTTAGCTTTTTAATGCACTATAACAAAACAGACTAGTCGTCAGTATCATCTGACCAATCAGCTTTGCATAAGCCCCAGTTTGAAAAGGTACGCTCAAATATATCATCTCATGGCTTATCTAGAAAAAAACACATTGATTTCTAATGCATTTAACATAGAATCATAGTGTAATTTCTCAAAACATCATCCATGTGACAGATTTAACAATTTAATTTTGGCCTTTGTGAAAAGTTACATGCTTTCCACATTAATAGGCTGTAACTGGTACATAATGAGGTTGTTCAATAGCTGCTTAGGACAAGAAAAGTCTAAGAATGCCCACCCTCCATGACTTACCCTGGTGGCTAGCTCTGCAGAAGGAACTTCACAGTTCAAGCGGTTTGTTTTGTAAAGCACAGTGAAGCTCTTCATTATGTATACCCAGAGTATGTGAGTGAACACATATCATCATATATCCCTACTCTGCATTTACAGTAGGCTTGGATGGATCTGCTGTTTCTAGATGCTGTTGCTGGCTGTTCCCAGGACAGAATGTATGAAGCTTATCTTTGACTGGAATTTATTTATTTATTGGTAGGTAGGGAGAGGGGAGTTATTTCTCTTCTTTGTAGTAAGTGATCCTTGTCATTTGATAGTATGGCTTCTGTGTAGTTTGCCAGCATGACAGAGTTTTAGGTTCACATTGGCTGTATATTTGGATAAATGATTTCCTCATTTTGACTTAAGCGGTACTTCCTGATTAACATGCATGTAATGCAATACATGTTTAAAATAACTTTTAAAAACAGGGATTATCACAGTCACAGAGGAGTTAGATGCCCAACTTTCAGTGGTCTGTAACTGCTTAACTTTTCCCATCTTTATTTGAAAATCTCCTTCTACATATTTTCTCTTTCTCTCTGGATTATGCTCACGTGTCATATAATTTCGCTAGGAAAACTGCAGTCTAGACACGGTTCTTTCGAAAAGGGATGCCTTTTTTGAAAGATCCAGTAAATCTCATTTACTGCATCTAGACTGCGGTTTTCCTATCAAAATAGCGCTTTTTCGAAAGCGTGCCATGACACAATTATGCAAATGAAGCATGGGAAATTCAAATCCCAGCTTCATTTGCAATTTTGAAGTGCCTAATTTACATCCCTCTGTCGAAAGAGTGATGTAGTCTAGACACACCCTCTATCATTATGAACTGAGCCTGGCAGTTTTTCATAATAATAGTAATGTACAAAAAGAAAAAGAGCTAAATTTTGCATGACCGAGTTACAAATGCATTATCTTGCATTTTCCCAGCTTTTAGTGTGCCAACCTTAATATTCTTTTTTGTTTTAAATGTCTTGATTGTTTTTAAAGAAGGTAGAGATTATTCTTCTATGGAATTTTATGTTTATTAAATTCAATATACAATTACATGCTAGAGACCAGATATAGACCCTTATTCATAAAAACACATAAGTACATAAACAAGTCAATGAAATTTAAGCACATGCACGAGTGCTGTCTTGAATATGGATGTTTTTCTGAATTGTCTTGGCATCAACTTAAAATATGTATCATCTACCTGATTAGAATGAAATCAGAGAAATATATAATTATAGGACTTAGGCAGATATTTAAAACCCACTAGATACAAGCTAGTCCTTTGAAACTATTGCAGTCTGTCATGAAAGTACATAGCTAGGACACGCACCATGTGTGTTTTAGTTACTAACCATTTTAATTAAATGTAAACAGATTTTTGACAGTACAACAATTTTCTTTCATCAGCAGGATCAGAGTGAGTGTGTCAGAGCATACAAGAAAATGCAGTTGAAATAGTTCAGAATATGGTTTGGCTTATCCTTACAATATATGCTGATTTTATAAGTTATACAGTTTTTTAACTGAGTTTATGGCACCTGCTCTATATTTCATCAAATAGTCAAGTTTTTAGCCTTTATATCTAGTTCCATATGTCCTCCCATTTAAAACATACCTATCAGAAAGTTGGTCCTTCCTTTTCCCCCCCCCCCCCCCCAAAAAATTAAGAGATATGGAAAGACTTGCTTGTTATATGCATTTTTGAAAAATATATTATATAGCAACAAGGAGTGGCTCCATACGTGAAACTCATAGCACTGCCACTGCTAAGCCTGTAGTCAGAGCCTTCTCTTTTAACCATTAGGTTTAATCAGCTCTCATAATAGATTTTTAATTTTTAGAGATGGGGAGGAGAGGATGAGTAGTTTGAAAAAAACTGTCATAATGCATGTCTCCTCTTTGCCTTCCAATTAACTTATGTTAAAGGAGAAGATAAGGAAAGTGTGAGTCAGAGGAGTGGAAACAAATGTAGAACAGGATGTCTGTTGAACATTAGCACTTGCTAATTTGTGCATTCCTCTGATGTAGGTAAGTATCATCTCCATTTTACAGATGGGGAATTAAGGCACAGAGTAGAGTAACTGATTTACCCAAGATCACACAGAAAGTCTTCAGCTGAGCTAAGAACTGAACACAGATCTCTTTAGCTTAGGCCAGTACCTTTGGCACTGCAATCTGTGGTTCGCAAACTTCATTGCATCTCAGCTCCCTTCTGACACCAAAATTACACATAACCCTGTGGGGGTGGGGAACAGAGCCCAAGACCAGTACCTGAACCTCACCGCCACAGGTGCGGGTGGAGCTTGGGCCTCAGGTTGAGCCCTGGGTCCCAGCAAATCTAATGCTGGCTCCAGTGACCCAATTAAAATGGAGTTGTGACCCAGTTTGGGATCCCGACCCATAGTTTGAGAACTACTACACTGCATTCATTATCTATCCTTCTCTGACTCTATAATCAGCCTCAGGATTAGTCCAAGGTATTTTGCTGGCCTGGGTAGAAAACATTTCCAGTGCCTCCATTGGAGCAGCCAAGTTAAAAGCTTCCAAAATTTAGATGGGTGTTTCGGCCAAACTAACAAAAAACCCAAACTCCACAGCAAGGTGGCAGAGTATGTTCCCACCCAGATGTTGATTTGGTGACCTCCCTGTTTGCACATCCTATTTACACACAATAGATCTATGCTATCTGTTTCTGACCCTTGTATAGCAGATTTGTCAGGCACTGGCCAGTATAGGCAAGGCGGAGAATGGGGTAGAATTGCAGGAGCACAGTGCACTTGGCTGTTCTATGCCAGTCTAACAATGTATAGATTTAAGATAGTAAAACATATTAGAATGTGGAAATCTCCCAGAGTAAGTGCTGGTAGACCTTTTATTTGGGATATTAAAGCAAAAGTAGAATACTAGAAATTGTACTATAAAGATTAATTCTCCTCTGCTGGAGAAATGGACCAGAAGATGCAGAATAGATTTTTGCATCTCTCACTTCTAATATTCTATAATGATTACCATGTAATTAAGTTCATCCTGATTTTTTTCAATTTCTCATACATTCTGAAGCAAGTCCATCCTTCACAGATTTGATTTCAAGAGACAGTTCACATCTTCAATATGTGAAAGCTCCAGAACATCCGTATTTACAGCTTCTGAGGATAAATGCAGTGGGTTTAAAATAACATTTATTCAATTTAATAACAAGGAGTTTTCATATTACTTCTCTGAGAATGTACTAGTTTTTAGCACTTTTGTACATTCCACTAGAGCCTAAGGCCACATCTTTACTCCGCTGAGGATCACTGCTGCCACGATCCATCTTCTGGAGTTTGATTTAGCGAGTCTAGTTAAGACTCGCTAAATAAAACTCAGAGGGCCCCCCCACCGGTATCTGGTACTCCTGCTTCTTCCAGGAGTAAGGGAAGCTGATGGGAGCATTTGCTTCTGTTGGCCTTCTACTGTGTGGACACTGCCAAGCTCGTCTTAAGGTAAGCCAACTCCTGCTATGTATTCTTTGTAGCTGGAGTGATGTACCTTCAGCTGTGCTGCCAAGTCTAGTGTTGACCTGGCCATAGTAACTTCAGCTTCTTTGAGCAAGTGCTATCGTTAAAGAGTAATTGAACAGCCTCTTGGAATTCACTAGCTCGGTGTTTCCTAAATGATAGTAAATACTCACTAGAAGTCTTACTTGTGCTCCACACAGTACCAACTTCTCATATGGTGCTTACTCTCTGTTTATGTTTTCATTTGCTGAATCACATTTAAAAAAGCTAAAAACTCATTGAACACTCCTAATTTTACTATTCAATATAACCAGTTATGTAGGCCATGGGGTGTTTTTCAGTAGTCAACTGAATCATAAGTGGGAAATGTGTGGCCAAGACTATGGAAATGTTTGAGTACTCTGCAATCATATAAGAAACTTCTTTTGGCAAAGTGATTTTCCACTTAGATTTTTCCAGTTTCTTAATTCTTAATTCCCAATTCAACTTCCTGAACTGTTACTCTCCAGTATCCTATAGAGAAGTTCTATAGAAATTATATTACTATATTACTTACTAACAGCAGGCGTTCTCCAAGGTACTTCTGTAACGAATCTCCACAAATTAGATTTAATGTTCAGTTAGGACACTGTCTCTTTTAAAATAGAGTTCTTTCCTCAAGCATGCAGAGAGAATACCATCAGTGTCCCCTTTGATCAAAGAAAGTGTAATCTTATGGGTCTTGATTCAATCATGTTTACGTTCATCACTGTTCTCTTACTTAAGTCCTGTTACTTAATGCTCTCCTGAATTGAGTCAATGCTCATATAACCTTACTACTAACTTTTTGCCACAAGTTAATGGATCTTTATATGGGATTATAGTGGTTTCTGCAGATGATACCTGAGGCGTATACTGCTATATTGCTATAGGCATATATCAGTGGTTCTCAAAGTGTGGTCCAACCATCTTGCAGGCCATGAGCTCAGTGCTCTTCCCCCTCCCCTGCAGCAGGGAGTCTGGCTGAAACCCTTCTTCCCTCACAAGGTTGGAGTACAATACCAGCTTCCCATTGTGGGGGGGAGCGCTTGCGAGTTCTTGCAGGGGAAAGAAGTGGCTCAGTGCACTGCTGCTCCTCCTCCCCCGACTGCACAAGAAACTGCTCACTTAGGGTACGTCTACACTTGCCTGCTAGTTCGAACTAGGGAGGCAAATGAAGGCGACCAAAATTGCTAATGATGCGCGGGATTTAGATATCCCGTGCTTGATTAGCATAGTCACGGCCGGTCACCATTTTGAAAATTGACTAGCCCAATTTAACTTGCCGCGTATAGACGCGGTACTCCGAGAAAAATCCCGTAACTCAGATTAACTGGTACTGAGGAGTTAATTTGAGGTACCAGTTTATTTGAGTTAAGGGGTTTTTCTCGGAGTACCGCGTCTATACGTGGCAAGTTAAATCGGGCTAGTCAATTTCCAAAATGACGACCGGCTGCGACTATGCTTATCAAGCACGGGATATTTAAATCCCGTGCTTCATTAGCAACTTCGGTTGCCTTCATTTGCCTCCCTAGTTCGAACTAGGAGGCAAGTGTAGACGTACCCTTTGAGGCTTTCCCTGCTGCTCCCATTGGCTGTACTCATGGCCAATGGGAGCAGCAGGGGGCAGTGCCTGGGAGTGGCAGGAGGCACTGAACCAGGTAAGCACCCCATGCTCCTCATGCCCAGGCCCAGCACTCCTACCCACTCTAGCACGCTCCTCCAGCTGAGAGCCCCCATCCCACCCCACTAAGGCACCATCCCTTCCAGAACCCCCACCTTCAATACACTCCTGCACTCAACCTCCCAGCCAGACTTCCCCCACCCTCAGCCAGCTCCTGCACCCTACCTCTCACCCAGACACCTCTCCCTCCAAACCTCTTCTTCACCCTACTTCCCCTCTAGACTCCTACTCCCACTCTCCTTCTGCACCCATTTTGTCATCATGGTTGGTTGGCTGGTGGTCTGCAGAAAGGTCTGCATTGAGAGGGGTGAGTGGCAGGCCAAAAAATTTGAGAACCACTGTTCTAGATGCAAGCAGCATAACTTGTACCACAATTTGCAAGCTGCCTTTTTATAGAGAAACAATGGCTTCTCATCATTCACGCACAGAGGCTATGTCTACACAGCAGCGTTATTTCAGAATAACTGACATTATTCCAAAATAACAAAGTCCACGTCTACTCTACACGCAGTTATTTCAACATAATTTAGTAATAATGTCAAGCTGGAGGACTTCTTACTCTGACTCCTGTAACCCTCATTGTATGAGGAGTAATGGAAGTTGCAAGAAGAGTGCTCTTTCTCAGACTTCCTGCTTTGTAGACAGTACCAAAAGCCAAAATAAGCTATTTCGATTTAAACTATGCAATTGATGTAGCTCAAGATGTATTGCTTATCTCAGCTTTAGCCCTACTGTGTAGACGTGCCCAGAATGTGGATCTAAAGAGGCTAGTGATTAAGACCCTGATCTTGAAGACACTCAAGCATGTGTATTACTTAGTCCTATTAACTTCTATAAGGTCACTCACATGAGCAGAGTTAAACACGTGTTTAAGTGTTTTGCAGGATTAGGGCCTAAGAAGCCATCAGTTTATGGAATGTAATCTGATTATTTTCAGTGTAAGACATAACAAACATATTACTCTTTAGGACTTGGGATACAGCAATATTAATCTAGAATATTAAGTATCTTTTAATTGTCTTTGACTGTGGCTCTACACTGCACATTTTACTATAGAATCACCTTACAGTGAGATGTTTCCTGTTAGTCAGGCAGCATTATGTTATTTACTCCCAGGATTCTGCGTCTTCTCTAAAAAAAATTTTTTAACTGTGCTTGAAAATAAAATGCTCAATAAATTTTTGTGCAGACCTCATTTCTCCATCTTAATGGAAAATAAATATATTATTTTGGTTTGTTTTATTTTCTAGATACCATACTCTTCAGCATCTCCTGGGAATTATGTAGTAAGTACCCTTGTGTGTGTTTTCTCATTACAATTGATGTTACATGTTATTTAGGCACAAAAATAGTTGTCCAGATGTTAAGAAGAACCCTTGTGTATTGGTTGAAAAGTGAACATCTGATCTGTGTTTAGTTGTTTTGTCTGCCATCTACAGTACATATGTTGGTGTTCATTACTAGAACAGTTATCAGTCTGGTCAAAATTGCTTTGAGTGCTTTCATTTACTTCAGCATATGTTTCTGAAACCAATACAATATTTCAATACTTCAATGCTAAAGGAGAAACAAACAGCCTTTTCTTAGTGACACAATAATATGTTTGAGTTTTTGGAGCTCTGTGGAAAAAAATCATTGAAGAACTAGAAAAGCTTAAATCTCCCAAAAATATGTAGCACATTTCTTAAAAAGACACTCACAGCTAACATTTTGTGGGACATTTTTTCTCTCGGTTGTTTATAATTACCTTCTAAGTACCTGAAAACTGTTTGTCCACACATACTGTAATGTTTATGTGACAAATATTAATTTTATGTTGTGATTGGTTTGGCCTTCAAGTGGACATAGTTGTTTTTGCTTTACAACTTCTTTAATATTCAATATCTAATATTTCATAACAATATCTTACCATGATCTTTTATCACAAAGAACTGAAAGTGCTGAATAATCTTTCTATTCTATCTAGGAAACATTTTACCTATCAAGAAAATAATTTTCTGTCAACTAATGGAGCCATGCAATGTTGTGTCAGAGCCTCCCCTAGTCCGCCCAATTAAATTGCACCCATAAAGGGATGGTCCAAAATAGACTACTTTTTCTTGTTTTGGGGTGTTTTATTGGCATCTGTGTTTTCCAAGTAACATTGTTTGATCTCATTTTGTCACATGTTTAGTAGTAGTGCCAAGATACAAAAGAGTGAGAATTATATCTGCTCCTCTGAGTGTATTTCCTATTTGTCACTCTTGTTTACAAATTGGGAGTTTTGTTGGAATCCCAATTTTTATTGGGATGTGACTTTTTCTTTTGGATTCGGACATTGCTACCATGATTCATGCCATTAGACAATAGCTGTGTGTTTTGCATACATCTGTGCCTCAGAACAATTTGGAAACTGAAGCTGGTTTAGAATGTAAACACAAGCAATCTCTCATTATGAGCACATTACACCAGTGTTTCATGAGTTGCACTGGCTGCCTTTGTTTCTGACTGAACTATAAGACACTGTGAGTTATGAGGTCCAAAATGGCCTATGGCCATCCTACCTGAGACCACTTATCCTCCATGCCATACAGATACAGTTATGATTAGTAGAGCTGTTCAACACTGAGCTCCTTTGATTAATTTTTTAAAAAGTGGGGGGGGGGCTACTAACAAGTTGTACTCAATGAGTACCTCTCACAGTATTACAACTCACCCGTCTCTTTGTTTGAAGTATCCTAAATCTGTTCCCCTGATGGCATATTGCAAAGATTATCCTATTACTGGCAAATTTAGGGAAGGGCTGTTTTGAAAGAGGAATATTCTTTAAAATATTTCTTGAAGGTGTTAGCTAGTTACTGATTCTATTTAGAGGAATTTTCTTTGTATTTGGCTTTTTGTTTTTATTTGTGTTTTTAAAGAAAAGCCAACATTATCTATAGCAGGGGTAAGAAATAAAAAAATGGTTATTCCCTGGCAGGCTGCCGCCACTATATTTATCTGCGCCTCTGCAGGTATTGGAGGAACACAGATCTCATTAGCTGTGGATTGCCATTTGTGGCCAATGCAAGTGGCAGGAAACAGTGAGGACTGGGTTGCCACTTCCCAACTCTTGCATTGGCTGCGAATGGTGATTCTCAGCCAACAAGAGCTGTGATTGTCGATATCTGCAGAAGTGCAGATAAACATAGCGGCGGGGACTAGTCAGGGACTAACCCTGCAAACCAGATATGGCCCATGAGCCAGAATTTGCCCACCCCAGATGTATAGTCTGGGAGAGAAGCTTTTATATAATTTATAAATATAAAGAAACAAATCTAATTCTGAGCTCACTTCAAGCCAAAAGGCAGCTAGGACCCAAAAACATGCAATCCTTGGATGCATAAACAGGAGAGTAGTGGCCTTATTGGGATCCATGGCTGTCAACAACTTCTGACCAAGAGGCAAGTTTAGTCTGCAGCGAGCATAGAAACTCTTGTTCTCTCTTACCTTCACTTCCTCCCCTTACTTGAAGAACAAGAGGCAAGAGCTGATAAGGAAATAATACCTCAGATGAATATTTCATTGTCATCACTGTATGAGACTGTACTGCCTCCATCACATGGCAGATGACAGTAAGCAATTCCAGAACTCCAGAAAGTGAATTATGGATATGCTTCAGAATCCTTGTGCGGACGTCAGGACCCCCATCATAAACTCCTGGACATTTTACACACTTCAACTTACACATGCTTGCCACTCCCTGTTAATGACATCTTTGAAGCCAAACAGGACCATCTGGTAGACTCCAGCTAAGGCAGCCCTAACTTGAAAATGTGCAGACAAGAAATGCTGTGTTCCAGAGGAGAATTCAGAATTTTTATTTTCACCTTCTTCACTGAATTCCTTAGTTGTGGTTGCAGTTCATGAGTGCAGGAAGCAATGCAACACAAAAGCTACCCCATAAAATAAAGACCAGAAGAGATCTATTCTCATGCAAATAAGAAAAAATATAGCAAGTCTCAAACAACAAGCCCATTTTTCTCTTTTCTGTAGACCACTGGAATCACCAGCTGAGACAGATAAAGGAGAAAACATCTACTTTTATAATCACTACATTGCAGCCATCAGTGTTGTTCAAGTGTCAGTTTTGGTGTCTTGGTCAAGACTCTGAACCATCCATTTCACACAGATTTACTGCTGTACTGACCAACCCTCTTTCTTACCATTAGATTTTGCCTCTCCCATTTTCAAGTCACCTATGAGAGAATAATAGCCATCTTGATTTTGGAGATTGTAACATCTGACTATTCTTCCCATTTCACCTCCATCTGTCCCTCCCACCTCCCTTCCTAGTTCCTTTTCAGGGAGCCATCTGACTATCTGTTGCTGAATTGTAGAAGATTAGGGTTGGAAGAGACCTCAAGAGGTCATCTAGTCCAATCCCCTGCTCAAAGCAGGAACAACCCTGACTAAATCATCCCAGCATGGGCTTTGTCAGCCTGTAAGGATGGAGACTCTGCCACCTCCCTAGGTAACCCATTTCAGTGCTTCATTACCCTCCTAGTGGAATAATTCTTCCTCAGATCCAACCTAGATTCAGGAGGTTGCTTTTCTATATTTAGGGGCCATAGAACTAGTTTCACTTCAAGACCAGGGGAAAGGGTCTAAGTAATTTTTAGTCCTCAAAAAGAAAGGTGGATGGAGATCAATATTAGATTGTAGACATCTCAGCTACTGTGTACAACAACAGAAATTCAGGATGGTGACCATTACAGCAATAATTCTCTTTCTAGATTCCAGGGATTATTTTGTGACACTTGACCTTCAAGTCCTATATTTTCATATTGTGATTCACTCCTCTCACAAGAGGTTTCTTCAATTTACAGTCAGTCACACTTTCAATACATTTTCAGCCTCTCTTCTGAAGTTGCTGAGATGTCTACAATCTAATATTGGTCTCTATCCACCTTTCTTTTTGAGGACTAAAAATTTACTTAGAATAAAACCCTTTTCCCTGGTCTTGAAGTGAAACTAGTTCTATGGCCCCAAAATATAGAAAAGTAACCTCCTGAATAGATTTGATAGAAGCCTTTTCAAATGCCATAATAGTCAAGGCTTATCTACCTATGGAGTGGTTTATTGTTCTGCAAAATCTTACTGCAAAGATTCAGTTAAGTCTTCAAACTTTGGCAAGGAATTGTCGTAAGCTATTTAGAGATATGGCGGCATGCATTTTAGTGATCTAGCATGTCAGATCCTTTATCTACTATGTCCAGGGATACAGTCTACACAACCAACAAGCATGATCTCAACAAACATCTCTCTAATCCCCATCAAGTTCTAGACTTGCGCATTTAGTGGAAGAACCCCTCCAAAACTTGTAAGGGAATCCCCTTCTTTCAACCTCCTCTAACTACCATTATCTCTCATGTATCTGTCTTGGGATGGGAAGCTCATCTTGTTCTTCACATCATGCAAGATGTCTTACCAAGAGAGTCACCTAAATGTCCACATTCTAGAGTTGAGTCAGGAATGTTTACTCACACATTCTCCCACTGATCAAAGCCAAATCAAGCAAGATCATGACAGACATCCTACATCAATCATTAGGGTGGGGCATGTTCCCCTTCACTCTGTGCTTAAGCATTAAAGCTCTTAGAGTTGGTGCATAGTCAACTAAATAGCCTTTCAATATCTTACCTCCCCCACATGCGAAATGTTACTGCCAGTCACCTCAGCAAACATTTTTCTCAGTTACAACTAGGAGTTGGATTCATGAGTTCTCCCAGAATATACGTCTAACCTGCAGACTTCCAGAGGTGGACCATTTATAAATGTCAATCAGTGTCAATTTTTAAATAAAGTTTGAATGTTTTTCTAAAGTTATGCTGTAACAAGTATTTGGGAATACCAGGGCCTGCATCATATTAATAAGACTAACTGATTACAGTGGTCCCCTTTTGTTCAGTTAATCTACACAGGAATAACTGATAACTGGATGAAACTGAATAACCTGTGATACACAGGTTGTCAGATTAGCTGATCTAATGGTCCTTTATGGTCTACACTCTATGAATCCATGACATCTATAGTGCAGCAGTCCCTCTTAGAAAACTCAGATGTTCCGTAGTCTTGCTTGATACACTGCTGAGGGAGAAGTGCAGGATAGAGATTGGTAGTTGATAGGTAATGTTGCCAATCATTTAAGGGATTGGAGATATATGTAGATTATTGGTATATAGAGCCTTATTACTGGTGACAGATTTGTGTTTAGATTAAAGTTATTTGTTAAATGTACTCATTAACTTGCAGCCAGTGGTTTTAACCCACAAATATAAGTATTTTATTTGCACTAGTTCAGGGGCAAGGACAGCAATGACTTATGCAGCATTGCTGACTTTGATTATAGTATAAACCTGGACATAGTGTTCATGAATGCACTGCTTCTGCTTCAGAGCTAGTAAACTATGTGTTTTGTAGGAGACATAAAGATATTTTTCAAATGTTCAACTTGCAGAACTTCCCTCCTCCTTCCAAAAATGTGTTGCTCATATTATAGCAAATCTCAGCAATGCCCCTTCAAGAAAACAGCAACAATTGCTCTTTGAAATCTCAATATGCTGCAAGACATGAACAGAATAAATCTTGAAACAAAATTGTTCTGTTTGATAGCAAATGTACTATTTTTAAAAATTAATGTATACCTATGACAATGAAAACTGCTTTCTATTAATAGCATTTATAGCATATTTATTATGAAAAATTTCATTTATTTTTTATTGCATATTTGAATATTTGTAATCAGTCAGCTTTTCATGTTACTTCAAGATATCATTGTGGCTGCAAATGGTGCTGATGATTTTAGTTGTTTAGAACAAAATAAAAGGTATAATTTTTAAGGAATACAAAAAGAACTGCTTGTTTAATAACCAGTACAGTCTGTTTCATGGTTTGTTTTGATAGAAAAAAATACAGAAAATTGACAGAAAAAAGAAAATAGACATGTCTTATTTTAAATGGATTTAACAAATACTAGATGAGGTCCCATTCTCTTTATTCTTAAATGTAAATCTATAAATCTGCATATCTGTAATCAGATTTATCAAGGTGATCTTGTGCTGGCACTTTGTCGTTAATCTCCAATCATTTATCCCGAGTTATAGGTGTACAAATATGAAAAAAGAGAATGTGTGGTGGTTTACGAACTGATTTAAATTTATCAGGGCCCGTATCCACCAAAGCTACATATCTCAGTAAGAGAGATTTCTTTCCTGTGGACTGACTTCCATTAAACAGCTCTTCTCCCATGTGATCCCTGCACTTTGTGATGAGCAGGCAGCAGCTTATTCTGTCAACATTGACACTACAGTTAGCAACCTGCTGCATCACGGTCAGAGACAAAAGAGCAGTGCCAACTGGAAAATTGGCTATAGTGGATGCAAGTTCAGAGAATTAGCTATATATTAACGGCCCTGATCCTTGAATAAACCCTCCTTTCTCTACTCTATTACTGACAGACAGTAGCAGAACCCAAAGCTTGTGATCAGCGGATCCATAGATCTACACATATTGGGATTCAGTACTTGAGCCTGCAGATCCACGGCCCTAACCTTAGTCTGCTCTTGAGTAAATTCACTAGTTTGCAAGAAAATATTAGAGGAATACATTTTTCTTTTTTCTATAGAAATGTGTTCCTTTTTCACCAAAACAACTCAGAACATTCATAATATGCTTTTGTCATTTGGATTATCTTCAGTCTTTACTGTAGTATTTTCCTTTTATATTAACCAAATATTTTCTACCCTTTTTAGGGTCCCCCAGGGGGTGGAGGGCCACCAGGAACACCCATCATGCCTAGTCCAGCAGGTATCCAAATCTAATCAGAAAATGTACAATGTAAATGATATTCTGGTGGGAATTAGGTAATATACAGATTCTGTATTCCAGATCTTCCTGTGCAAATTTTCTACCAGTGCAAACACACAAAGAGCAAGCAACAGCCAATGAAAAGCTCTCACGTTAGTACTTTCTTTCTCCTGTGTGTTCTTCCTGCTTTGCTAGAGAGAGGTAATATGGTTGGTAATTTTATTTTACTGACTCCTTCCAGGGCTCTCAAGACCATTTTTTTCCTAGTCTCCATTAGCAACAGCAAGGAAAAAGAGAGATAACATAGACTATGCATTGTTTCTGCTAGTGTTGTTCAGCACACATTTGTTAACAACTTTTATATATCCTGTGAGTATTCTGCTGGGGGATGTTTCAAGTGGGAGGTTAAAGGAGTGCCCCATACGCCCAGCTCAGCCAGCTAGTTCTGCA